AAAACCCAAAAGACTCCACCCCAAAACTGCTAGAACTCATACAGGAATTCAGTAAAGTGGTAGGATATAAAATCAATTCACAGAAATCAGTGGTATTCCTATACACTATTGTCTTTGTTTTAAAGTTTATTTTGTATGATATGAGTATAGCTACACCTGCTTTCTTTTCATTTCCATTTGCACGAAATTTTTTTTTGTCCCTTCACATTCAGTCTGTGTGTGTCCTTATTTCTGAAGTGAGTCTCTTATAGACAGCATATAGATTTTTTTTAATCCATTCAGCTACTCCGTCTTTTGAATGGTGAATTTAGTCCATTTACATATAAAGTAATTATTGATAAGTATGTACTTATTGTCATTTTGATAATTGTTTCCTGGCTTTTTTTGAAGTTCCTTTCTGTTCCTTTTCTCTCTGTCTTCCCTTATGGTTTGATGGCTTTCTTTAGTGTTATATTTAGATTCCTTCCTCATTTTCTTTTGTATATTTACTCTAAGTTTTTTTTCTTTGTGGTTACCATGAGGTTCACATATAATATCCCATGTATATAAGAGGTTTTTTAAAGTTGATAACAACTTAATTTTGAACACATTCCAAAGCTCCTCATTCTATAATTTTGATGATACATATTACATCTTTTAATTTTATGCATCCTTAATTATTTTAATTTTAATTAATTTTACTATTTTTGTCTTTTGACCTTAACCTTGCTTTGTAAGTGATGGATTCACTACCTTTACTATATATTTACCTTTTCCAGCAAGATTAATACTTTCATATCTTTTCACATTATTAGTGCCTTTTCTTTTCAGTTTAGAGAAATCTCCTTAACATTTTCTCTAAAGCTGTTTTAGTGGTGATCTCCTTTAGCCTTCGCTTATCTGGAAAACTCCTAACCTCTCCTTCATTCTGAATGATAACTTTAGCAAGTAGACAACTCTTGGTTGGAAATTTTTTTGCTTTCAGCACTTTGAATCATGCCACTCCCTTCTGGCCTGGATAGAGTTTCTGCTCAAAAATTTGCTAGTAGGCTTATGAGTTTTTCCTTGTACATTAAATAAATTGTTTTTCTGTACCTCTTTTTAGATTCTCTTTTTATCTTTAACTTTTACCATTTTAATTATATATCTTGGTGTGGTTCTCTTTGGGTTCATCTCATTTGGAATTCTCTGGGATTCCCAGGCCTAGATATCTGTTTCCTCTCCCAGATTAGAGAAGTTTTTAGCCGTTATTTCTTTGGATATTTTTTCTGTGTCTTGATGTGTGTCTCTCTCTTTTTAAAAAAGATTTTATTTATTTTAGAGAGAGAGAATGCAAGTGAGTGGGGGGGGAGAAGCAGAAGGGGAGGGAGAAGGAGAGGGAGAGAGAATCTGAAGCAGACTCCACACTCAGCACAGAGCCTGATGTGGGACTTGATCTCATGGCTGTGAGATCATGACCTGAGCCAAAACTAAGAGTTGGATGCTTAATGGACTGAGTCACCCAGGTTCCCCTTGATGTGTTTCTTTTATCTTTTGTTGTAGAGGTGCACTTTATCCAGTTCTCAGGTCCATTTTGGAGGAAAATTATTCTGCATGTAGCTATAAAAGTATTTTATCTGTAGAAGGAGAGGTGTTCAGAGCCTATTTACACCTCCACCCTGAATCCCCCTTCTTATCTCTTTCCATTAATTTAACAGATTGTATCAGTTTGATTGGTACAAATAGAACAAGTTGGACTATATGCCATGCATCTAGCTTTGTCATCAACTGGTAGATTTTATTTATTAAAAAAATGAGTTCTACTTCTGGGAATATGGAATTGGGTATATAAATGAACAGACTCTGTCTTTTTAAATCTGCTTTCCTAAATTTTTTTTTTTTAAGTTTTAAATCCTATACTACATTAGTAAACATAAAGCAGAAAAAGGAATGAGTGTTTTAATTATTCTAGAAACATCTTGGAACTCTTTTTAGCACCAGACCAGGCATAATTCTTATACAGAGCAGAGACAGTCTGTAGCATTCTTACATGGAAAAGAACAAAAACTGTAAGTCCTGTTTTTTAATCTCCCTCTTCCCATGTAAGATAAGGAATTGGGCACTAGCAATAACACATAAGATTTGCAGAACACTTAATATTTTCAAGTAGCTTTAGGTAAGCTTTTTCTCATTGCAACAGCTTGGTGCAATGCTCACCCTTTCACACATGAAGAAAAAAAGGCATAGAGAAATTAGACTGATTTTGCACAGGGTCTCATAACTAGTAATAACTTGTAATTGGGAGGGAGAAAATTGTTGGTCAGGACCTTCAGGTTCTAATTTGATTTTCTCTCCATTTACCCTGCCCACAAACCCTTGATTAATATCAATTTCTCTGTGATTAGCTATATTCCTATGTCTCTGGAATGTGTCTGAAGAGACCCAGAGAAAGGTGTGTGGAGGAAGAGAGGAGGAGACATCAACTGTCCCCACTGGACATGCAGTCACACAAAGTCATCCCAGGTGCCAACATTAAAGCCAGGAGATCAATTCAAATCTTGGAGCCATCTAGGCATAGCTCCTCATGCTACCTCCTGATATAAGACAGTGGCCCAGAGCAGCCTTACCTTGTCCACACTCCAACTTCTGGCAGGTATGGTTGGTGGGCACTATGAAGTAGCCGCCCATGCATCGTGTACAGATGTGTGCGCTGTGGCAAAGCTCACAGTTGTCTGAGCAGGGCAGGCAGGTGTGCCCCTCGGCAGGGTAGTGGCCTGTTGGGCAGCTCTCCCAACACTCCCCCTGATATAGGAAGCGCTCCTGGCCATGCTTATCTGAACAGATGGAGGGGTAACAAAAAGAAGGAAAATGTACAAAATTAACTGTGAAGCTAATATAACCTAAGATTTTTTTTTTTTTAAAGATGTAAGTAAGTATTTTGGCTGCTAAGGGACCAGGAGTATAAGAATGCATTTCATGAGGGGCGCCTGGGTGGCTCAGATGGTTAAGCGTCTGCCTTCGGCTCAGGTCATGATCCCAGGGTCCTGGGATCGAGTCCCACATCGGGCTCCCTGCTCGG